AGTCATTATTGATTACCTGGGCAAAATTGTGATGAAGACAGCATACTAGCAGAAACTTCTCATGCCACATGTCTATCATGCTTTAAACACGAACGAACACCATCCGTTTYTGGCAGTAAAGTACACAGCAGTTGGCCTCCGTGCTGCTGGAGAACTAGTGTACCCCAACGCCATTTACATTAGCCTCCTTTSGCCCCCTTCACCACATACTGCATTTTATCCCCTTCCTCGCACGCACTGTAGGAGCATAGCTAGTTCCTCAGCAGTACTCCTTCTGTTAGACTCTGTTTATCCCCTTCGTCGCACCCGCTGTAGGGACAGAACCTGTTTCCCAGTTGTAATCCATGTGTTACATTCTGTTGTATCCCCTTCCTCGCCCCCGCATTCTACTGCCGTCCTACTGCGGACACGAAAACCGAGTGTCCAGGTTTTGGGATTGAATGATTGGTTTCAGCAGAGCTTTCTCTGCTATTTCTTATTGGTTAACTCTTGCATTCTTCTTCTTCTTCTTTTCTTTTTTTTGGCTTCTGATTTCTGTTTTTCTGGGTCGACTCTTGCATTCTTCTCTTCTCTTTATAATGACCCAACGGGCCACAGATCAGATATTAAACTGATCAGAACAGATACTTCACTTGATCTTAGCCAAAAGGCCGAGAACGGTATAACTCTTGCATTCTTGCATTCTATAACTTCGTGCGAGTATTTTCGAGAGTTATGTCCTGACTCATCTTTGTCTTCATAAAGTCCAGAAATCATCCAGAAATCATCCAGAAATCATCCACAATACACCCCACACCATTCCATTCAGTGGAGAATGCATTCTATAACATCAGAATGCATTCTGATGTTGTTGATTTTTTTAACTTTTGTTGTTGATCATGGACCACGACTCCACGTCCATGCAAATCATCGTCGCTGATCTGCTGCACCTATCTGCCCACCAAGCTTTCATTCAATTGGATGGATTTAGGTCTTTTTTTTTAAACCACCACCTCTCCCAGGCACAGTTTTTTGCCTGAGCTGCATGCAGGCTGCGTCTTCGGGGGATCGGGTCTACTGGACCAAAATGGCTGGCGCCGCCAGCCGAAACGGAGAAAGGTGCAAAGAAGAAGAAGAAGAAGAAGAAGAAGAAGAAGAAGAAGAAGAAGAAGAAGAAGAAGAAGAAGAAGAAGAAGAGACAGTACGACAACGGCCATGGCACACAAACAGAGAAAAGAAGAGGAAGAACAAGACAATGGAGGAGAAGAAGAAGAAGAAGAAGAAGAAGAAGAAGAAGAAGAAGAAGAAGAGAGTATGACAGCGGCCATGGCACACAAACAGAGAAAAGAAGAGGAAGAACGAGACAATGGAGAAGAAGAAGAAGAAGAAGAAGAAGAAGAAGAAGAAGAAGAAGACTGTTGGGCAGCGGCCATGACATGCGAACAGAGAAGAAAGGTGTGACGAAGATGACCCTGTCGGGTACCAGCCATGGCATAAGAACAGCGAAGAAAGGTGTGAACAAGAAGAAGACAAAGACGACGAAGAAGAAGAAGAAGAAGAAGGAAATACTACAGGGCAGTGGCGATGCATGCGAACAGGGAAGAAAGGTGCGAAGGAGGAGGACAAAATGAGGAGCGGCCATGGGATGTGAACACAGAAGAAAGATAAGAAGAAGAAGAGAGTGTACTACTGTAAGGCAGCAGTCATGGCATAGAACAGATGAGAAAGGGAAGAAGAAGAAGAAGAAGAAGAAGAAGAAGAAGAAGAAGAAGAAGAAGAAGAAGAAGAAGAAGAAGAAGAAGACAGAAGACAGAAGAAAGATAAGAAGAAGAAGAGAGTGTACTACTGTAAGGCAGCAGTCATGGCATAGAACAGATGAGAAAGGGAAGAAGAAGAAGAAGAAG